GAGGGCCGCGTTGCGCGCGTGTGTGCCTGAAACAGCTGATGGGGAAAATGTTCCCTCGACACCCTCCCCCCCATCTCATCCTCCCCCCGTCTTTTAGTTTCACATCCCCGAGTGTGAATGGGCATTCGTGCAAAAAACTGGAGGTGTCGTTTTTGTTTTGCTGTGGAACCAGCCTCGTACGAGTTTTGATGAGATTCACACGCACAAAAAAGCAATATTTCTTTTCCACCGGAAGTGTAAAACAAATGTCAGCTGAAGAACGTACGAGCCCGTTCCGATATCCGCGCAGGTTCAACCCAGGGACGCGTGGTGAACCAGAAACCCTCCCCCATCCCTCGTTAGGCTCTGCCCACTTTTACACAACCACGCCCGCTCGGCAATTAGCCCCACCCATAATTTTGGGTAACCCCCGCCCATTGAATGGGTAGTCCCTCCCATTACCTTGGCTAGCCACGCCCTTTGACAGCATCATTATCAGTCGGGCATGCGGCCGAGAACATTTAAAAACTGGACGCAATTCAACTCTGCCTTAAAAGGAAAACGACAGGCGACGTTTCTGGCAGTGGCCCTAACTTAACAGCACAATGACCCTAACCGTTAATTCACCATGTGCTATGAAGAAGGGAAATTATCCCAAGACGTCACCTGTTATATATTATTCCTTTTAAGGCCACAAGGTAATCATTGACGAATGTGCTGAGTTCATTGGATTTCTTTGTGCTTGTGGACCCGCTGCAATCACCAAACAACCGGTTTAATCAACAACAACAACAAACTGGTAGGAAAAATAAATTACGCGGGGTGACACCAGGACGGCCGATCTGAAACCACTGAGTAGCTTTGGGTGTCGTCCCCGCGCTTTAGCATTAAATAGCCAAGGGGAACATTCCCCTCGAGGCGTCTTTTGTGCCACCCAACAACCATCGGTGTGCAGACGAAAGTCCGTGGCCATTGGCATAACGCGTTCCTCCTTTAGGATGTTTAATGAACGGATTGCTCTCTCACTCTGCACTCCCTCGCTGCATGATCGACCGAAGGGGAAAACGCGCTACCTTCAAGGTGTTGTTCGTTCGATCGGCCCCTGGGACGCGAGCCTGGTTTGCTGTGGTGGCACTGGCGGCGGTGGCTGTCGTCACATTGCTCCACGTGTCACAGTGATGCTGTGAGCGAGGGATGACTTGGCCATTTAACGCGGCACAATACTTTAAAAAAAAAAACCCGTCGCTGCAGCACCGGCGTGGTAGCGCAGTCTGGTCTGCTGTAACGGCGTGTTGTTTTCAAAACGCGAATTGGATGTAACGCGATTCAACACCCGATCATCGCGTGGCGAGCGGAAGAGGGGCACGGGTGGTGGCAGCAGTCCCACGTGACAATTCAAATGGGTTTATCGCTTGAAACAAGAAGAAAAAACACGAGACGTGAATTCATTCGCCGCCCCATCAATTCAATGGATTGTCACGATTCGATTCAAGGATTGATTGTTTTTTGTTTTGGCCATTGCGAATGTAAGTGGCGTCTCACGGCAGCCATGGCTCACATGAAACCCATTTACGAGGCGTACAAATGTACGGAATGGATTTTTACGCGCATGGCGAGCATAAGAATGCATTCTAATCGATGCATTGTTGCACTACATCCTGCAATCCGGTTATAATTGGCAACTTTTTCTTATTCTTCAGAAGAGGCTTGAGCCTGGCTTATCATGATATCGTGAGCCAGACCGGTGGCCATATGACTGTAATTCCCCCCCCCCCCCCCCATCCGTTTCAAAGGCGCTGGGAGTCGCTGTAAGAATCGCCGAGCTTAGACCGCCGTGCCATTTCAAAACAGTGGAAGCAGTTTCCACACGACAGATGAAGCCAGAGCGAAATGAGATGGTGACCCGAAGCGTCACAAAAGCACAGTGCTCACCACAAACAGCAGCGCCGCCACCCACCGCTCATCGCTAGAACCAGAGCCACCGACGGCCTCCCTCGCAGAGGGTGCGACCCCTCCTGGTAGGGGTCACGACCCGACTTTGTACAGTTCCATCAGACTCCTCAAGGAGGTCCCTCGCCGATGCGAATGAACGCAAGGGCCATTCCATTCGAGACGAAGGAGCTACGCAGGTCCATCGCTCGACTCCATCACCCAGATCCATCCTAGATCCCTCACTCATCCATTGCAGATCACTCACTGCTCCATCACCCGGTTCCATCCCAGATCGACCACTGCTCCATCACCCAGAGCTCTCACCGAGATCCTTTACTGATCCATCCCAGATCCCTCACTGATTCTTCCCCCAGATCCCTCACTGCTCCATCACCCGGTTCCTTCCCAAAGCTTTCATGGCTCCATTATCCCAACTCGTTTCCGAAACCCTCCCTTCTCCGACAACTCACTCGGTCGCAGACACCTTCATCCAACTCCTCAGTTGGCTTCCTCTCCCAAGTGGTTTCGGCAGTCTCGGTCAGCTTGGGCGCCGTCGCGCAGAACGCCTGTGCTCACGGGGGGAGGGGGTGCTGACCATCCCACTCTCTGGTACCTGTGGCTCCACTGGCCGTCTGATCTCATCATCATCATCACAGCCCTTGGTCAATCCACTGCCTGATGAAGGCCTCCCCCCAAGCCGTCACGAGGTCATCCTCGCAGCGGCTTTTGGCTTCATCATCAAAGGCGGTCACTGCATCGCGCGCTTTCAGATGCGCTTCTGCGACCGTCTGGTACACTCTTCCCTCCGATATTGAGAAACCACTGGAGCTATGCACTTGTAAATCTAGATCAAAAACTAATTTATTTAAAACTTTTTGTGGTTTGTTGTCCATCCCCCTGCACCTACGATGAGCACGGTTGCTACGTATGGTGCGAAAGAAGTTCAGCATACATACATACATCTCTAATGAACCTGCGAATTCACGTTAATACCCACACACAAGGTAAGTGGATGCCCTCACAGGCGTGTTTCCCTTCTCTCGGCTGCCACGAAGCTAATAATGTAAATCACAAGAATACCACCAGGTGAGCCTAAACGTGAGCAGCCACTCAGGAACACCACCTTTCAAGAATGCCGAAGCAGGTACAGTATTCACACGTTCAAGTATTTAAAGCAAGCAATTGGCTGGCGCACCTCGAACTGTACTTCAAAATAACATGGACCACAAATCGGCCATGTGAAATGTATTTGACTTCACATTTGCTCGTTTTTGATTTGCACTCACACAGCCGTGATGTTTGTTTCGAGCGAAGCGGCCGAGCTGCGAGTTATGTTTTTGTTTGTCTCGCCGAGCCGGCACGCAGCCCCCCAGCAGCTCGAGGAATTGCTTAGGGTTGGAAATCTGCTCGCGAAGACCGAGGAGGCCACGGCGGGACGGCCGTGCAACCCCAGGGGCGGGGCAAGACAGAATCAAGGCGGCAGGACGGAAGGGCGCACGTGGCCAAAAAAAAACTGGATCTCGTCAAGTCAACGGTCCGCATCGTCCCACACGCAAATGTCGTCAAAAGCTAAGGTGGCACCGTGGGCATTGTACACACGAGCCGGCAGGCGGGCGGGCGGGCGTATGCACCGGTACGACGAGGCCGCGGAGGGCTCCGAGCTCACCCACCGTAACGGAACGCTGCAAGTACTCGCCTGCGCGAGCACCAGGGAGACCTGGCGCTGCGGGCCTCCGATGCTGCGCCACGTCCAACGGCTGAAGCGGCACGAGCCGAAAGAGCGTGGCGGACACTCCGGGGCCCTGGCACGAAGCCTGGCACGGCACGAAGCCTGGCACGGCACTGAGGGGCATGTGGCACTGAGGGCATGTGGCACGGAGCTCAGCCTGGCACGGAGCTCAGCATGGCATGTGGCACTGAGGGCGCGTGGCAGGACCCCAGCGTGGTGTGTGGCACGGAGCTCAGTGTGGCGCGGGCCGTAGCCGGGCTTGGCACGTGGCACTGGGCGCAGGGCGGCACGGAGCGGAAAGCGGGTGCGGGGTGCGGGGCGCGGGGACGTGGTGAGACGTGGTGGGACGCGGTGGGACGTGGTGAGACGCGGCACAGTCAACCCGGCGGGCGACCGCGGTAAACGCTCGGCAAGGAAGGCGCTCGGCGAGTGTGCAGTGCGCGTGCCGGTTGCACAGAACGTTCACGGTGCGTGGAGCGGCGTGCACTGCGTGGTGCACATGGGGCGGTCTGCTGCTCTTGATGTGGTCTGCTGTCTGTGGTGTGCTTCGTGTGGTGTGCATGGTTATTGTGCTGTGCTTGATGTCAGATGCTGTATGTGGTGTGCTCCGTGTGGTGGGCATTGTGTGGTGTGCATGGTGTGGTGTCTTGTGCTTGATGTCGTATGCTGTACGTGGTGTGCTCGGTGTGGTGTGCACGGTGTGGTGTGCACGGTGTGGTGTGCACGGTGTGGTGTGCATGGTGTGGTGTGCATGGTGTGGTGTGCTTGGTGTTGCATGCTGTTATGTGGTGTATTTGATGGTGTGCACGGTGTGGTGTACTGTGCTTGATGTCATATGCTGTATGTGATTGTGCTCGGTGTGGTGTGCACTGTGTGGTGTGCATGGTGTGGTGTGCACGGTGTGGTGTGCATGGTGTGGTGTTAATGGTGTGGTGTGCATGGTGTGGTGTGCTTGGTGTGGTGTGCATGGTGTGGTGTGCACGGTGTGGTGTGCATGGTGTGGTGTGCATGGTGTGGTGTGCACGGTGTGGTGTGCACGGTGTGGTGTGCATGGTGTGGTGTGCTTGGTGTGGTGTGCATGATGTGGTGTTAATGGTGTGGTGTGCACGGTGTGGTGTGCATGGTGTGGTGTGCATGGTGTGGTGTGCATGGTGTGGTGTGAATGGTGTGGTGTGCACGGTGTAGTATGCTTGATGTGGTGTGCTTGGTGTGGTGTGCATGGTGTGGTGTGCACGGTGTGGTGTGCACGGTGTGGTGTGCATGGTGTGGTGTACTGTTCACGGTGTGGTGTTAATGGTGTGGTGTGCACGGTGTGGTGTGCACGGTGTGGTGTACTGTTCATGGTGTGCACGGTGTGGTGTGCACGGTGTGGTGTGCACGGTGTGGTGTGCACGGTGTGGTGTGCACGGTGTGGTGTGCACGGTGTGGTGTGCACTGCTCAGGACGTGAGGCAGCAGCTGGACTTGTGCTGCGCTGCCTCCACGTACTCCTTGAGCTGGAATTTGGGCTCGTCCGGCTTCCCCAGTTCACGCTGCTTCAAGGCCCTGTGACAAAGACAAAGATCCCCCGTGTAGCCTTATGAGGCCGTTGGGGAAAGTGCCGTTCGCGGGTCGCACCTACGAAGGCCGGCACGGCACACGATGGGGGTGGGAGGCCAGCATCACGCCTGGCCGCCTTTGCCTCCCTTGTGGCGTTGTTTACACTTCGCGCCAGGTACTCATTTGAGGCTGAGTTGACCCCTGGTAGGCCAAGGACTTGTTCAGATATTCGTCACCGATATTGGTCGTGTGCTAAGGCGTATACTGTGCGTTGAGCTAAGCGTGCAAGTGCCGTGATATGCTACGGGGGATCTTTGTCTGTGTTCACATTCGTGCGCATGCTGTTGCGGCATACATTCTGTGTGTGCTCGTGTACGAGTGCACGTTCTCATGAGCGTGCGAGTGTGTACGCACGTGTGCGTGAATGCGTACGTGTACATTAACAGCACTTGCCCCTACAGCCTGTGTGCCAACACTACGGGCGAGCTTTGTCTCTGTGTGTGTGTACGTGTGTGGGGAGCGGTAGTGTAGCAGTTAGCGCGCTGCGCTACGATCCCGGCAACTGGAATTCAATTCCCGCTCACGGCCAACACCGGTGACGATCTGAACCGGTCCTGTGCCTCCCCTAGGTAGACTCAGCCTCAAATACCTGGTGCGGTATGTAAAAACATCACCACTGGAGTGACAAAGGCAGCCGGGGGTGGTGCTGGCCACCTACCCCCTCGTGTGCCGTTCTAGCCTTTAAAAGTGCTCGCTAACAGCACTTGCCCCAACAGTCTGTTAAGGCTACACGGGGGGGGGGCTCTTTGTGTGCATGTACGTGCATTGCTCGCGCTGTCACTCACTTGGCCAGGGCCATGAATGCCAGCTCCACATTGAGGCCGCTCCGTGCGCTTGTCTCCATGAACGGCACCTTGCATTCCTGGGGTGGGCACGGGGGCGGCAGGGGGTGGACACGGGGGCGGCAGGGGGTGAGGAAACCGTATACAGGCGTGACGGCATGGGGGTTATGACTGTCTGCGTTAGTGAGTGGAGAAATAGTTTGGTGGTTGAGTGAGCTATTGAGTGGAGGAGTGGGTGAGTTGGTGAGTGAGTGAATGGAGGAATTAGTGAATGGGTGTGTGAGCGCTTGAGTAAGCAATGCGTCGGTGGATGGGTGGATGGGTGAGCGAGTGAGAAAGCGAGCGAGCCAATGAGCGAGCGAGCCAGTGAGCGCACAAATAAGTGTGCTGGCGGGTGCGTGCGCGCGCGTGTGCAAGTGACCGATTGCACGTGTTGAGTCCGCGAGAAGGTGAACAACAGGTGGGCGAAGCGCAGACAGGCGAGCGCGGGGGCACCCGTAGGGACCGGAGGCAGCCTATGAGGCTCCCTAATCCCGAGCGCTCCCCCGCTAATGCTCGGCGCCGAGTGCCGCGCGTAAATTATGCACGAGAGCAGAGTGGCTTTGAGAGTGGCTAACGTCGGGAGCGTGGGGATCGGTCACCTTGGCGAGCCTCTCCCCATCCTCCAGGCGAACCACGCGTTGCCCGCCCAGGTCAGCCTGCGTTGGGGCGAGGTGGTGGGTGGGGGCGGGGCGGGGCGGGGGGGCAAGGGAGTGGACGAGTAGGAGCAAGAATCAGAGCGGCAGAACCACAAGCGCGCGGTCTTTGTAACCAGCGCTCTGTTGTGTCAGTCAGTCCGGCGCACACACACTTCCTTCCGGCCTGAGGCTCACCACCATCACAACCACCACCGCATTGCTGCTCACTGTAAAAGGCTGTTATACCGTACAGCTTACAGTACAACCAACACACCAAAGCACACGTCGCATATCACCACACTAACACGCGTAGCTCACCACACAGCACACACCGGAGCACACACAGTGTAACACACAGCTCACCGGACAGCACACACCACAGCACATAGCATAGCACTCCATGTACACACATTACGTAGCACCTGGCCTATCACATAGCCTCCCAGCTGCAGCCTATGGCATCACCCCTCACCCCCCCCCCCCTCAGCTCTCACCCCTCACCCCTCGCCCTTCACCCCCTCACCTTGTTGCCGATGAGCATCAGGACCACGTTGCTGTCTGCAAAATTCTGTACCTCCGTCAGCCAAGACTACACACACAGGGGACACACAAAGTCAAAATCTTTCCCTCTGCCACAGTTCTACTCAGCCAGAAAAGTGAAGATGATGATTAATTTGATCAAAACGATGATGATTTTTATTACGACAGTGATGATTATGATTTAAGATGATAATTTGACGATGATGATGATTTTTCATGATTGTTATCGATAAGCATAATGATAATAATAATGATGATGACCATGTTGATGATTCTCAATAACGACGGTGACAGTTGCCGATGACGATGCTAATGACGATGACAATAAAAAGATGATTCCGAGTTGACTTCACCACATGCGCGCACACTCACCCGCACGTTCTCGAACGACACTCTGTTGGACACATCGTAGCACAGGAGCAGGGCTGCAGCAGGGGCAGCGGCAGCAGGAAGATGAAGATGGGCAGGAGGGACACAAGAATCAGAGAGGGTGGTCAGGACAAACATTTCAACGCAAGGATGCTCACATTCCGTTCACGCTGCCTCCCAGATAAACATGCACACGTTGGACTAACGTTGGGCTAACGTCGTTACACCATCGTTGAACCAACGATGGTCCAGCGTTGGTCCACGTTCACTGGGATGATCGCCCATCATCTGTCATCAGGAAAGGAATGTGGCTCTGACCACGAACGCCACCGTGAGTGTGTGCCGCGCGGCATTATAAATATATACGTGTATGGGGAATGGTAGTGTCGCAGTTGGCAACCTCCGCTGCGAACCCGGCAACCCGAGTTCGAGTCCCGCGAATGGCCAACCACCAGTGATGATTACCTGAACCAGTCCTAGGCCTCAGCCTGAAATGACTACCTGGTGCAGTGTGTAAACATTGCCACTCGGGAGACAAAGATGGCCGGGTTTGATACTGGCCATCCCCCCCCACCCCCACCCACCCTCATGTGCCGTACCGGCCTTAATAGGTGCTCGCTAACAGGCTTCACGGGGTACAATTGTCGTCGTTATGTGCTGCATGTGCTGTGTACCCTTTAGGTGTGCGGTGAGGTGGCACACATGTGCGTGGCGTGGTGCTGTGCGCGATGTGGTTAGGTCGTTACCGTCGGCGTCGCGGTAGTACGCGTGAGTTACACTGCGGAACCTCTCTTGGCCGGCGGTGTCCCAGATCTGGTGCGCACCACACCACAACAATCAAAACCACACCACAACAATCCACACCACAACAATCAAAACCACACCACAACAATCCAAACCACACCACTACAATCCAAACCACACCACAACAATCAAAACCACACCACAACAACAAAAACCACACCACAACAATCACAACCACACCACAACAATCAATACCACCCCACAACAATCCACACCACACCACAACAATCAAAACCACACCACAACAATCCACACCACAGCGACCAATACCACACCACAACAATCAAAACCACACCACAACAATCCACACCACAACAATCAAAACCACCCCACAACAATCCACACCACACCACAACAATCAAAACCACACCACAACAATCCACACCACCCCACAACAATCAAAACCACACCACAACAATCAAAACCACACCACAACAATCCAAACCACACCACAACAATCAAAACCACACCACAACAATCCACACCACAGCGACCAATACCACACCACAACAATCAATACCACAGCACAGCAATCCACTCCACAACAATCAATACCACCCCACATCAAACAATACACCATGGCAATCCACACCACAATGATCAACACCAGCCCACAGGAATCGTCATACCACACCACGATAATTCACACTGCAACATCACATTTACAACAATTCACACCACCGCAGTGCAAACTACTACTCTTACTAATCAACATCACCTCTAAATCCACTCCGCTCAATGCACACCCCCCCACACCACACCACCGCACACTCCTTGTTCTCCGTTAACCGGCGATCATCGGTCACGAGGCCGACATCACCAGGGCCGGGGATAATGTTCCGCAGAGCCACTCAGCCGAGGCCGAGTCAATGAATCATCGGCCGGGGCAGAGGAGCCATTACCCGGATCGATCCCTCACACGCCGTCATTTTAGAGACACTATAAACGAGGCCTCGGTGCCGACTCCATAAACACCGCACTCGGTGTGTAACGGTGTGTGTACATGTGCGCGTGTGTGTGCTTGTGTATATATGTAACAGGGTAAATGGCGGTGTGGACGGCAGGACACCTCCATAAAACATGACGTGCGAGGCCCACCGCTTGCGATCAACTACTCCCCCACAGTGAGAGGCCAAGCAGGATTCCAACGAGCTGCTCTATGCAGCTGGACACTAGCCCTGACCCTAGCCCTGACCCTAGCCCTGACCCTAACCCTAACGCTGACACTAGCCCTAACCATGACACTAGCCTGAACCCTGACACTAGCCCTAACACTAGTCCTAAACCTGACACTAGCCCTAACACTGATACAAGTCCTCAAGCTGAACCTCGCCTTAATCATAACCCGAGCCCTATCCCTAGCACTAACCCTTCGCCCACACAACAATAGCCAGCAGATATTGACACTAACTCTAACCCGAGTGCTGACTATAATCCAGACTCTAACCACAATAGGAAACCAAACCCTAACGCTAGCACTAATCACACGAACAACCAAATCCGACCCTAGTCCAAACCCAAGCCCTAATCCCTAGTCTGCCACAAGCCCTAATCCTAACCATTAAATTAGCCTTAATCCTATTCCTAATCCCTAAGTCTAACTATAACCCTCACCACCAATGGCCAACCAAACCCGAACGCTATCCCCTCCGATGCGACCCACATTTTCACCGTCAGACATTAAACCTTTCCAATCAGACATTAGCCCTCACCTTCCTAGCCTTTAACCAATCAACCGAGAGCATGGCCCTATAATCCAAACAACGCAAAGCAATTGAACCCCCCCCCCCCATCCATTCCCCACTAACCCTGGGCTGAGGAACAGACGCCGTCCGAACAAAACAGCGCGCGGCGGCTCTAAGTGAGCAAGAGCGAGGGAAAGGAGAGAGAATTATTCCACTTAGGGTGGTTTATGAGGTGGCCCCGAGGAACCCCCACCCCCCACCCCCACCGCCTGTCAGCACAGCAGCGCCATTGCCTTAACGAAGCTAAATGAGCACAAAATAACCTCCTTTGCGGGGAGGGCCCAAGCGGGCAGCCTCGCTGCGGGTTACCGTGGCGACGGGGTTACCTGGAGTTTCACCTTGACGTCATCGATGGTCACGACCTTGTTCTGAGGAACGGGGACGGACGAGACGGGACGAGACGCGCGTGTGCGTATGTACACGAATGTACGTACAAACAGACATGCACACGCGCGCATATACACGCACCACGGACAAGTACAGACATATACACTGATATTGACATGTGCATATATATACACACATACATATACAGATGTGTATGTACACTTATATATATGCACACGCATGTAGAGATATACACGTGCACAGTTATAGACATATACACGTGCGGACACATCACAGGTAAACATACATTTCAGACATACACACGAAAACAGACACACGCACACATATACATGTACACGCGCACGTATAAACAAACAGACACACACGAATACAGACGTGCATACATATACAAATCCATGAATACACACGCACGTATATGTACATACATATACACACAGGCACACACAAAACAAATCAACACACGCACACACACGTTCACACAAAGACACAGGCACACGCACAGAGAAACACACAGGTCACCCAGTTAGTCTCATAGGCCATCGGTGTAAGTGTTGTTAGTGGTCACCGATGAAGGGCACTATATAGCATGGCAACGGCATGGTTGTGTCCAGACCCACGCGTTCCAAGCCACACTGCACCGGGCACTCATTTGGGGCCGATTAAACCAAGCCAGGGTTCCTCATCACAGGCCCCTGACGTTGTGACACACATAGGCTGCTGTGTTGCAGTGTGTGACACTCTGCCACGCCATCGGACACATGCACACACGGGACACAAACGCACGCAAACAAAACCACACAGGGCCCTTCTGTTCTGGCGTATTGCCATAAGACAAGCGCTGTTAGCAAACACTACACCTATACACATGGGACACAGGCTAAAAAGACAGAGACCCCTATATCGATGTTAAGACAGTGCCGTTGGCAAGCAGTGCACGTACACACAAAGGCGAAGATCCCCCGTATAACCTTAACACACTGTTGGGGCAAGTGCTGTTAATGAGCACCAATGAAAGGCCGGCAGGGCACACAAGGGGGTGGGGGTGCGTGACCAGCAGCACGCACCAGGTACCCATTTAAGGCCGAGTCGACGTAGCGGAGGCCCAAGGCAGGTTCATATATTCGTCACTGATGTGGGCTGTGAGCGGGAATGAAACTTGGGTTGCCAGGTTCGTAGCAAAGCACGCTCACCGTTACACTACTGCTCCCCCCACACGCACACAAGCACAAAGACACTGACACACACAGATAGACAAATACCTCCTGTATAGCTTTCACAGGGTTCAGGGCAAGTGCTGTTCGTGAGCTGCTATTAAGGTTGGCAGGGTAAGTGACGGGGTGGGTTGCCAACAACACACCCAGCCGCTTTTGACTCCCAAATGCCACTCTTTACACACTTTACACACTGAAGGCTGAGTCGATCTCGGGGAGGTCCAACACTAGTAAAGATAATCGTCACTGGTGTTGGCCGTGAACGGGAATTAAAATCGGGTTGCTGGGTTTGTAACGCAGTGCGCTTACCACTGCGCCACCGCTCCCCACACACAGACATATGCACACTGTGAGACACACACACACACACGCATGGACGTATACAACGACAAAGATCCCCCATATAGCCAGAACAGAATGTTGGGGAAAGTGCTGTTAGCATAGCACCTATGAAGGCCGACACGGCACAAGAGGAGGTGGGCGGCCAGCACCACGCCCGGCCGCCTATTCCTTCCTCGTGACGATGTCTACACACCGCACCAGGTACTCATTTGAGGCTAAGTTGACTTAGGGGAGGCCCAGGACCAGTTCAGATATTCATCACTGGTGTTAGCCGTGAGCGGGAATCAAACTCGGGTCGCCGGGTTCGTAGCAGCAGCACGCTAACCGCTACACTAGCGCTCCCCACACACACAGAGATACACACACAGAGACACACAGACACACAATCCAGGCATTCGCACACCTGTGTACACACCCAGCACACCAGTGTAAAAAAACAAGTAAGCGCACAATGGGGTACGGTGTTCGTAGAGCAAAGGATACCTGCATTAAAGAATTTAAACACCGCTTAGGGTCACTTACGGCTGGGTGGACACCTCAGGTTTTTAACGACTCCCATCTGTATTCATCAATGATAACGAGCAGCTCACGAATTACAGCGCGTTTGCGGAGGAACGACTGTCGCTCAACACAGGCCGCTAGAAAGCCAGATGATGAATCCGTGATGTATACGGAGCGCCAAATTGTGATGCCGTAAAGTAGGTGTGTCAGGCTCAATTACGGTTATCCTGGGTGTGTGCTTGCCCACACAAGAGGTTATGGAAGAGGAATCGACAGTGATAATAACGATGGTGAATTCATGCTCGATCCCATGCTCAAACCCATGCTCGAAGCTCGATGTGATGTTGTACGATCTGATGTTGTACGGTGTGATGTTGTACGCCCGCATCTGTGTGTCTGCGAGCGAGTGATTTTGCATGCATGTGTGTTTGTCTGCGTGTGTAAGGTGGAGGAGTGGCAGGCGACCCAAGTTCGATTCCCACTCATGATCAACATCGGTGGCAAATAATTGAAATGGTTCTGGCCATTCCCTTGATCGAACTAAGGCCTCAAATGAGCACCTGGTGCAGTGTGTAAAAATCAGCACTGGAGAGACAAAGGGGGCTGAGCATAGTGCTGGTCACACCACCCTTCATGCACTGTGCTGGCATTAACAGGTGCTCACTAACCACACTTGGCCCAACAATCTGTTAGAGGGAGATCTTTGTCTTTGTGTGTGTGCGTGCACTAGTGTGTATATCTATGTGTGTGTGGGCATTTGTGTGTGTGTGTTCGCATGTGTATAAATGAGCTGGTCTATTTGTGTGTATGATCACTCTTTTGTATCTGTGTGGGTGTGCGAGTTTTGTGTGTGTGTGTGCACGCGTGCGTGTGCAAATTTGAATGTCTGTCTGCCTCCTTGCGTGTGGGTTGCGCGTGCTTTTGTGCGTGTAAATTCTATGCGTTCATTTGGATGTGAGAAAATCTGAATTCCTGGCAATGCATATGTGCGCATGCATGCATGACAGCCAAGTGTGGGCATGCGTGGGCGTAAGGGATTTAAACGATGGGTGGGAGGACAGGAGCAGGAACTGCTTCGGTGAGTGTGCGCATGCACACAGGGTGTGCTAACGAGCAAGGGTGGCCGTGTGTGTGTGTGTGCGCATGCCAGCGTATGGGTGTGTCCGTGCGTGTGCACACAGGATGTGCTAATGAGGGAGGATGTGCGTGCGTGCCAGCATGTGGCAGTATCCGTGAACGTGCACACAGGGTGTAATAACGATGGAGGGGTGTGTGGCATTTGTGGATGTGTGTTCGTGCCAGTGTGTGCGCGTGTGTATGCCAGTGTGCGTGTGTGGGTGCATGTTCAGTGCGCGTGTGTACATGCCAGTATGTGTGTGTGGGTGCATGTGCAGGAACCTGTTGCATCCGCCAGTGCATGCATGCATGCGTGACGATTACCTGAACCGGTCCCGGGGCTCCCCTAGGTCGACTCAGCCTCATATGAGTACCTGGTGCGGTGTGTAAACATCTTCACTGGGGAGACAAAGGCGGTTGGGCGTCGTGCTGGCCACTCACCCCCTCGTGTGCCGTGCTGGAGCATAGGTGATTGCAAATAGCACTACTCACAAACAGCCTCAACAGCCTGTTAAGGCTATACGGGGGATATGTGTATTTTTTACGTGTCACTGTGGGTGTGTACACGACTCATGCCTGTCAGTGCGCGTGTCAGGGTGTGTGCGTGTGTGTGCATGCACGTATGTACGTGTGTCAGGGTGTGTGCGTGTGTGTGCATGCACGTATGTATGTGTGTTAGGGTGTGTGCGTGTGTGTGCATGCACGTATATATGTGTGTTAGGGTGTGTGCACACACACGCACACACCCTAACACACGTATGTATGTGTGTTAGGGTGTGTGTACACACACGCACACACCCTAACACACGTATGTATGTGTGTTAGGGTGTGTGCACACACACGCACACACCCTAACACACGTATGTATGTGTGTTAGGGTGTGTGCGTGTGTAGGGAGTGGTGGTGTAGCAGTTAGCTAGCTGCGTTACGAACCCGGCGACCCGAGTTCCATTCCCACTCACATCTAACACCAGTGACGATTATCGGAACAGCTCGTGGGCCTCCCCTAGGTGGATTCAGCCTCAAATGAGTACCTGGTGCGGTGTGTAAACATCGCCACTGGGGAGACAAAGGCGGTCGGGCGTGGTGCTGGCCACCCACCCCCTCGTGTGCCATTCTGGCCTTCATAAGCGCTCGCTAACAGCACTTGCCCCTACAGTCTGTTAAGGCTATACGGGGGATCTTTGTCTTTGGGTGTGCATGCACGTATGTATGTGTGTCATGGTGTGTGATTGCATTCTTAGATGTGAGTGAGATATGGTGTATGTGTGTTTGTGTGCATTCATGCGGGATATATATGTGAATGAATGTGCGTACAATTGTGTGCATCCGTGGTATTTTAACGAGTGGAGATAAGGTAGGGGGGAGTGATTGGTGGCGGGGGGGGGGTCTTGCCTTGAAGTCGATGCCGACTGTGGCGATGTAGCTGCCAGACAGGAAGGCACCGTCTTTAAAGCGCATGAGCAGACACGTCTTGCCCACGCCGGAGTCTCCGATCACCATCACCTACAGCACAGCACGCAGCACACAAAGCACATATCGAACACAGCACACACAGCAGACATCACAGATAGGTCTTACCCACGCCCGAGTCTCTGATCACCATCACCTACAGCACACAGCACATATCACGCACATAGTACACATGACACACGCACACATCACACACACAGTAACACATCACACATCAGACTCAATACACAACACAGATGATACCACACAGCATGTCACACAGTACTCAACACGCATTGTTACGGTGTGTTTGCACGTGTGTGTGTGTGTGGGAATGTCTTTGTGTGTGTCCGTGTGTTGTGGGGAGTGGTAGCGTAGTGGTTAGCGCACTGCGCTACGAACCTGGCTACTTGAGTTCGATTCCCATTCAGGGCCAACACCAATGACGAATATCTGAACTGGTCCTGGGCCTCCCTCCTAAGCATCACCACTGAGCAAACAAAAGTGACCAGGCATGGTGCTAGCCGCTCCAGCCCTTCGTGTGCTGTGGTGGCCTTCATAGGTGCTCAATCACAGCACTTGCCCCCAACAGTCTGTTAAGGGTTTTTGGGGGGGGGGGGGAATCTGTCTTTTGTTGCGATGTGCGTGTGTTTGGGAAGTGGTGTCAAGGTGGTTAAGGAAGAATGCTGCTGTACCACCTCATTCACTTGGGTTAGATTCCTGGCCACATGTATTATAAGCAGTCAATGCTGACACCATAGAACGCCTAGGTCGACTCAGCTGGTAAATAACCAGGGGGGCGGGGGGGGCAACTACTGCCACCTACTTCATAGAGAGGAGGGCAGGCTGTTTTGTAAATCTGGGAGGGGGGGCCAGCACCAAAGGATTGGGTGGGGTGGGGGGTATTTAGGTCCCTGTGCCTTCAGGGTTCTCCATTGCCATGACAACCGGCCGAGCAGGACGCCATGGAAACGCCGGGCGCCTCGTGACGAGCAACAGCCCAATCTCACTGTCTCTCCTTGCCAAGCATCGCCAACTCACCACCATCACGTTACTCATCATCCTTACCTCCCTCACCACCCTCACATCCTTCACATTACTCACCACCCTCATATCCCTCACGTCACTCATCATCACCCTCACCTCCGTAACGTCCCTCACCTCCCTAACCTAACTCACATCACTGACACAACTCACCTCCTCATATCAATCACATCACTCACCTCACTGAAATAATTGACCTTCCCTCACCTCATATCACTCACCACCTCACATCCCTCACATCATTCACCCCCCCCCCCCACTCCACCTTCCTCACCTCTCACACCCCTCACCTGCCTCCAATTACTCCTATACCTCACGTAACTCACCACCTCACCTCCATCACATACCTCACCTGCTCACACACCCCCTCACACCACCCTGACATCACTCACTCCACACTCACCATCCTCACATCGCTCACCGTCCTCACCTCCCACACACATAACACCCCACGCGTCCATCAAAACTCCCTTACATCCCTCTCGTCTCTCTCATTCCCCGTGCCTCACGTCTCAATCGCAATATCTCAAACATGCATTGGATCGCTCACAGAGCCACAGTCCTGCCCTGCACGACCCCCTCTGCACAAACCGCCTGTGTAATCCCCTGTGGGGCCTCGCTACACGGACCCTGGTGTTCCCACCACACGACCCCTCTTTATAAACCGCCTTTCACGTGAACCCCTGAATGAACACCCCCCCCCCCCCCCTTTCTACACGACCCCTCTACACGAGCTATCTCTTCGCTTAAACTCACACCCCCCCCTCCCCGAATGTTCAAATGACCCCCCACGACCAGCACAGCGTAGGGATACCTTCATCCACGGTGCTCCCCATATCACCCCCCCCCCCCCAAACACACATTCACTACCCACATGACCCCTGCGTTGTACGAACCCCCATGCCCTCCCAGCCCCCTCGTAATAACCCCTGTACACCACCTGTACACAACCCCCACTCCACTCTCGCATGACTCCTCCACACCACCGAGCCCCCCCCCTCTCCCCATAGCCCACCTTCACTAACCCCCGTGCCCTCCTCCATCCCCCCCCCCCCCCAAACAACACCGTGCCCCCCCCCGCCCCCCACCTTGAATGAGAGGTCAAACGCCTCCTTGGCGCTACCGCTCCGCGATTGGCGTCCAGCGCGAACCCCGTTCGTGTTGCCGCCGCTGCCGCCGCCGCTGCCGCCGATGCTGGCGAGGGGCCCCGCGGGGCCGGGGGCGCCTTTGGGCCTCGGCGAATGCGTGGAGGAGGCACCGACCCCCGCCGCGGGAATCTCCGTGGAGACGCTCCTCTTGCTGCCGAACGGGAGCCGCGCGCGGCGCGACATTTCCTCAAATTACGAGCCGGGTGGTGAGGGGATGGGACGGGGGATGGAGTTCTATTCCAGCATGGCAGGGTTGGTTGTGGTGGTGGTGGAGGAGGAGGAGGGTGGGTAGGTGAGGTGAGGGAAGCAAAGTGAGGTGAGTAGCAGGGTCGTCAGGGATGGTTATTAGGTGAGGTGGGGGGGGGGGGAAGGTGAGGTGGGGTAGAATGGTGAGTGCAAAAGGTGAGGGAAGAGAGACGCGGGGTGAGGATTGGTGAGGTCGGGGATGAGGGCACGTGGGGTGGGAGGGGTGACGGGAACAGGTGAGCAAGGATAGGCAGACAGGTGAGGGAGACAGGTGAGTTTAGGCAGACAGGTGGTTGTGAGACAAAGACGGATTTGGGAGAAAGGTTAAACGGAGACGGGTCGTGGCAGACAGGTGAGGTTGTGAGAGCGTTTAAGAGTGAGATGCAGTTGAGTGTCAGGCGAATTACAAAAGTGTGTAGAGTATGGTGGGGTTGCGGATGCAGGTGAGAGTGGGAAGACGAGCAGGCAGATGAGGGCAAGATGTGAGCGATAGCTTTGATGGGACGGGTGAGGAGACGGGTGTGAGACGTGAGGAACAGGCGAAGAACCGGTAAGAGGAGCAAGGACAGGTTTGAGGAGGAACTGATTTGAGGGACAGATGAGGACACAGTCAATGAGCTGGGCAGACAGGCGAGTGGGGTGAGGAGCGGTGAGCGGACAAGCGAATGAGGTGAGGAACAGGTGATCGGAAGCCGATCATACAGGAGAGGAGGCCTCAGGAACAGAGGGTGAAGCAGGCAGGTAAATAACGGAGGTGAGTAACAGGTGAGGAGAGAGGTGAGTAACAGGTGAGGAGAGAGGTGAGTAACAGGTGAGGGGGCAGTAGGTCTGAGCACAACAGGTGAGGAACAAAGATGAGCGCAGACAGATGGTAAGGAGCTGGTGAGGAGCTGGTGAGGAGGAGGAGAGGTGAGCGCGACTGTGGTGAGGAGGCGCCGCCGCGTCGCGGAAGCGGAGCTCCAGTGAGGACCGGGTAAAGGAGCGCGCGCGTGGACGACGTAAACACGTGACGTCACCACGCACGGGCGCGACGTCACGACGCACAGCGGTGTTCTTTTACGCGCGCGTCTCCTGAGGGACGTGAATGTGTGACGTCATCACGCACGGGCACCAACGTCAAGACGCACAGCAATGTTTTGTCGCGCGCGTCTCCTAAGGGACGTGTAACCCGTTACGTCATCACGCACGCGAGCGCCGCCAGCACGCGCAAGGGGGGGGGGGGGGTTAAACCGAGTGACGTCGTACGCACGGCTATGACATCACCACGCACATTTTTTTACGATACGATAAATATGACGCTAATCGCGATATCAGTTTCCCATAACTTTGCAATTCCATTTCACACTTATACGTCGTTTTGTAACTACATTACAACCTCAGTCGCGTTTTCACGCGTTACGCAATAGCACGATCTCTTTCGCCTCGTATTAAACACTGCAACACAAGCTCCTAATACCGGTAGGAACCTCCTGGTTACACCACCAGCCCACAGGGGATTATTGTGTCCGTCCGTCGTGCATCCAAAAATGGGAGGGGTGGGGCTGGGTGGAGAGGGGAGGGGCTGGGTGTGGAGGGGCTGGGTGGGGAGGGGCTGGGTGGGGGAGGGGAGGGTGGGGAGGTAGGGGAGGGGCTGGGGTGGGGAGGGTGGGGCTAAGTGGGGGGTGGGAGGGGTGGGAAGGGGCTGGTCACCCCGTGGTGCCCTTATAAAACTCAACGTTTAACCTACTCACGCCGGCTTGTGCCCGCCCTCACAGTCGGGCATATTTGCGGAATACACCACGTGGTGCCGCCGTTGACCCTGGCCATTGACCGAGCAACCCAACGTTCCTACCAGCTCCCTCCGCAGGAGAATGTGTTAATTTGATAACTGGAAAGACTCGCGCGATGACGTGGACACGCACGACGGTTATCTCACGACGTAATAACCGCACGTCGAATTACGTCATCGCGCACGCCCCCCCCCCACCGCCGCTGTGCGCGTGACATCATCACGCGGGCAACGTCATCGCTCAGAGTACGAAAGCCGCGTGCCTTGCTACAGTGTGACGTCATCACGCATGCGGTTACTGTGGTGGTAACACTTATTTTGTTGTGGTGGTAACACCAGTTTTGTTGTCAGAATAAAGGGGGAAAAACTATTATTATATATTGACACTGGCAAAGGAGGTCCCATGATGTAGCTGCTCAAAACCCGAGCTCTCGTTGTCCTGATAGTGCCATTGTCTCTGTGCTGTTCGCCTTTTGGCGTCCTCTGGTCTAACACCGTTTTGAGACGAGGCTCTAAAGAAAGCTGTCTCTGGGGTGGACCAATCAGTTTCAAAGACAATTCACACACTGTCAGAGCATGTTTTTTATTGCATTTTCACCACAAGTATCTGTGGTTAATGTAGACATGCTTCCTTGCAAAATTTTCAGTTTGGTGTTTAACATTTTGACACCTGATTTAAAGCTTTCGTGACTGCAGTAATTCATATTCTTAGCTCTTTCGGTAAAGTCACGTTGAAGGAAAACAATAAAATAATAAAATATATATAAAACAATAAAAATTCTCACGACGTTTCGACAATAACGCAAACGGTCATCATCAGGTGTGAAAAACCAACGGCAAGACACATTTGAAAGAAGTGGCGGTTTGCATTTCGTGACTGCAGGGATTTATATTCTTGGTTATTTCGGTAAAGTCACGTAGAAGGGAAACAATAAAATAATAAAAATATAAAACAATAAAATTCTCACGACGTTTCGACTGCAACACAAGCAATCATCATCAGGTGTGAAAAACACAGCAAGAACATTTTTTCACACCTGATGATGATTGCTTGTGTTGCAGTCGAAACGTCGTGAGAATTTTATTGTTTCATATTTGTATTATTTTATTGTTTCCCTTCTACGTGACTTTACCGAAAGAACCAAGAATACCTGTTTTGTTGCCAGCAAAAAAGGGGGGGAAACCGACTATACGGTATTTTGACACTGGCAAAGGCGATCTGTTGGTGACGCCAACACGCACACGTTTATTGGCGCGGTGACGTCAGCACGCACAACGCGCGGTGACGTCAGCACGCATAACGCGCGACGCTAACCAACCCCCCCCCTCCCCTTCCACCTCGTGCAGGTGAGTGAGAGGGCTCGTGGCGGAGGCCGCACGCGGACAAGGATGAGGCTGCCCTCGCTGCTGCCCTCGCTGCTGCTGCTGCCCCCTCTGTCTCGCCTGTCCTCTCGGCCGCTCGCCGCGCTGCCCTCCGCGCGCGGGGCCCAGCCCGCGGCGCGTCCTGCCCGCGGTACGTGTCCCGTGGGCAGGGGGGGGCCGCGCTGGGAGGGGAGAGGGAGCGTGAGGAAGGGAGCCCCCTTTTCGGCTGCCCTGGGTTGTGTGTGGTCCCCCAGTAGTAGGGTCGGGTTCGGGGGGCCGAGCCCCCCTCCCTCCTCCCGTGAAACGACGAAAGGTCAAGTGGCACTACATCATGTCGGCGGTGAAGAAAGTGAATTGCGGCCCTGTAAGTCAACCGCCATGGCGTTAGGGCCTCCACTAGGGGGAGCTCTCGACTAGCCTAGAGACCAGTCTGGAGTACAAGAGTCTATAGAGTACAGAGTAGTCTAGAGACCAGTCTAGAGTACAAGAGTCTATAGAGTACAGAGTGGTCTAGAGACCAGTCTAGAGCACAAGAGTCTATAGTGTACAGAGTAGTCTAGAGACCAGTCTAGAGTACAAGAGTCTATAGAGTACTCTAGTCTAGAGACCAGTCTAGAGTACAAGAGTCTATAGAGTACAGAGTGGTCTAGAGACCAGTCTAGAGTACAAGAGTCTATAGAGTACTCTAGTCTAGAGACCAGTCTAGAGTACAAGAGTCTATAGAGTACAGAGTAGTCTAGTCTAGAGACTAGTCTAGAGTACAGGGGGCCGTCCATAAATGACGTCACACACCTGGGGAGGGGGGGGTCAGACATTTGTGACGATGTTTGACGAGGCGGGGGGGTTTGAGAAATGTGACGTCACATCAAAATGCGCAACTTTAAATGAATATAGACAACACGTTCTACTTAATTAAATAGACTTTGTAATAAATGTTTCTCCTACAACATCAGAGTGCAACGCCACATTAAATACGCACTTAAAGCGATTTGAAGCATGTTTTATTTTGTGGGGGGGGGGGGGCAGAGCTTTGTGACGCCGTGTGACGAGGGGGGGGGTCAAAAATCGTCTAAAATCGCGTGACGTCATTTATGGACGGCCCCCACGCGTCTCCAGTACCTGTGCCTATCGACTAGTCTAGAGTACTAGAGTCTCTGTACTCTATAGACTCTTGTACTATAGACTACTCTAGTCTCGAGAATAGATGAGTCTAGAGTATTTGACCAAAATTATTCAGATTACCGAAACTTAAAAAAACACATTCTTGTTTTAAACGCAGGTTTTGTTTTTGACGGGGGTTTGTTTACAGGAGTCATTTGAACTTTAGTTTAATCATGGTAGTTTACCATAACCTTATGGGTTTTTCTTGTTTATTAAATATCCCAAGTGAAATATTAATTAACGTCCCACACACACACACGAGAAAAGGTTTGTCATTATTTCCGGATCAACCTGCGTTCGTGGTGGGGGTGGGTGGGGGGTCAGGAAGACCGCACTCTTGACAACCACACCGCTCGCCATATGCTGCAAGTGGTTCTTATCACCTAATGGGGGGAGCCCCTTCTGGGGGTGCGAGACGAGGCACGGATTTTTGTCCGAAGGTAAATCGTCGAAAATACAAATTAAGCGCTACAACTTACTTCGTTTCATCAAACCCCCTACGTATTTATTGAGAGTATTAAAACATTTTTTTGTGAACAATTGAGCACCAAAAGGGGTGTGCCAGGCTGCGGTAAAAGGTTAAAGAACCACTGGTCTAGAGTGCAGTGGTTCTCAACAGGGGGGGCTACGCGGACCCCTGGGGGCGGGGGGGAGATACGCAGACCCCTGGGGGGCTACGCGGACCCCTGGGTGGGGGCTACGCGGACCCCTTGGGGGGGGGGGGGGGTACGCGGACCCCTGGGGGCGGGGGGGGAGGTACGCAGACCCCTGGGGGGGGGTATGTGGACCCCTGGGCGGTACGCGGACCCCTGAGGGTGGGGGGGAGGTACGCAGACCCCTGGGGGAGCTGGGGGGGTACGTGTACCCCTGCGGGGCTTGGGGGGGGGGGTACGTGGATAATGTCCCAGGGGGTAACGCGAGGTGATTTATAAATGTGCGACAATTCTATCATACACGGGAGTCATTGGTGAATGTAATCACGTATGCATCTGCCAATATTGAAATAACCGCGAATGTCGTTTAAATCCACGGGGTAACCTCGGGCGATCAAAGTAAACTCATCGACCGTAAACAATTTGTTCTCCGAGGCTAACCGGGCGAGCGCGAACACACTTTGCGCCGCTCTGCACGCAGAGCGTGTTTGGAGTGAACGCTGCTGAAATGTTTTCCACGCTCGCAGTTACCGGCGAGTTTGGATGCCTCACGAAATAAATGTACAATTGGTAAAAAAAAAATGTATATATTTACGTTCATTAATAAGGCCCAAGGGGATTGGGAGGAGGAGAGGGGGGGTACACTCTGTTGAAACAAAATTCAAGAAGGAGGTGGTTACGGTAGCCACTGGTCTATAGCGCTCGTGAGACGCAAGGGCCATGGCAAAGGGGAGAGAGGCCGCCGTCTCTCGTGCAGAAGCGGTGGGTTTCGCGCACAAAGAGCGTATTTGTTTGCATCTTTAACCACGGGTGTGTGTAGTTAGTGCAGACTTTTGACGCCTTATTATTTGGGCCTTTCGGGAAAGTCGCGTAGATGGGTTAAAAAAACCCATAAAGAAACCCAAAAAAAACCACGACTTTTTTTCTGTTGCACCTTGTGACGGAAACGTCGTAGTGTTTTTGTTTATTTTATTATTTTTTAAACCTATCTACGTGACTTTACCGAAAGACCCAAAGAATATTAATTCATGCGGTCACGAAAGCTTCAAGCCACAGATTTTGACGCCTTGTAAAAGTTTTCTCGTCTTTGAACATCATAGCACCTACTGTATTTATGCCAGGTAAGTGTATAAAGTCTTTTCTTTTTCATGTTGAGTAATGATGGTGGTCGAAATGATATATATTCTGCATATATAAATTTGGCGTATGATAATCAGGTGGGACTAAATGCAAGATTGTGCCAATGCCAATTATGCGATGTCAGTGACAGCTATTCTCATCACTTTCACACCGTTCACTCCAAACAAAATATTTGGCGACGTTCCCTTTGGCGTTGGTGCAAACGCACAAACAGCAACAAAGCCCCAACACGTTCGTTAACAACGCGGTGGCCTCAAAAGGGGAAAATATATATAATGGTCGACGTTTCGGGGCAATGCGCTCTCCCCCACCGCACGTGGGTCCAAAGAGGTGGCATGGGCAATGGCCGTTCGTTCTGTTTAACGTTGGTTTAGAGTTTAACATTGTGTTGTGCCCCACCCCCCAACGCCCGCCTCTCCTGAGTTTGTATACCCCCCCCCTCCATTTAAAATAAGGTCATACTACAGAGTAGTCTGGGTTTGGCTTCCCCCCCCCCCCCCCACTAAGTCACGTCACTTTATTCCGCAGAGCCCCTTTAGATGACCCCCGACGAGTCCAACTTTGAGTCCACCTTTGACCAAATCTCCCCCCTGAGCAGGAGCCCTACCACGTCAGAAGCAAAGCAGGAAATGGGAGACTGCCTTCGCCGTCGAAGCAGGCGTATTCATTGTTGTAGGCGGCTCCGCCTGCGACGGGGCCAGTGGATGGCAACTCAAGCAAGGATTCCTGAATCCGTCTCGTGCTGAGCCTTTGAGCGTTATACCACGCGCACATTTAATGTGCGGCGTTGTTTCCTCCGGGGTTCGCCGGTTTCCTCGCGCGCGAAAGCCGGACTCTCGGTTTTGGAGCTCACGGCTACGCATCGCAATGTGGCAGGACCCTCCTGAAAAAAAGTCTTGAGACTCGGTTAGACTTTCCTGGATAAATAAAGAGTTGGGATGCGTCTCATCCGGTAGGGCATGCGTGTGTGAATGGGTCACAATATTTGTTCTAACTTTATTGACACCAGGCACAAGTTTAGGGTGAATCTTACATTCCAGAGTGTCGTATAATCCAGTGATTTGGGTGTTTATCCCATACGAAAGTGGAATCCCACTCTTGCTCCCGGCCCAAGGCCTTCACTTCCACTGAGGTCTGTGGGATTTGTGGAGCTGAGGTCTGTGGGGATGGGGTCTGTTGCATTGGGTAGGGTCTGTGGGGTTGGGATGTGAATTTGGGTTCTTTGTATGTATGTTGAACGTACTTCGCACCATACGTAGCCAACCTTGCTAATCGGAGGTGCGAGGGAAGGATAAACTAAACACAAAAAAACCGTTCTAAGGAAATTAGATTTCAGTTTAGATTTAAAAGTGCATACCTCCAGTGGCGTTGTAATATCGGGAGGAAGAGGTTTCCAGATGACCGCAGAAGCACATCTGAATGTGCACGATGCGGTGACCGTCTTAGTTCGATGGCTTAGCCAAAAGTTTCTGCGAGGATGACCAGAGTTCGCATAATGGTTTATGTCCCCTTGACGAGATCAGCAAGGTACTGTGGTTCATTTGTGGCAAGCACTTTGTGTGTAATGAGTGCGACCATATAATGTACTCGTTCAGCAACTGGAAGCCAATGCAGCTGAGCGAGCACCGGACAGACATGTTGGGGTCTTGTAGTATCCGGCACGACACGTGCCACAGAATTTTGTACTCGCTGCAGCTTGGTAATGTTTTTGACAGACATCCCGTAAAGTAATGAGTTGCAATAATCAAGCCTTGTCGATACTATGCTTCACCCACCGTGTTGGGCTCTGAGGGGTCTGTGTGGTTGGGGTCTTTGGGGTTGGGGACTGTGTTTGGAGTCTGTAGGATTTGGTTCAGTGGGGTTGGAGTAATCGATGGCTTGATAAGTTATATGACATCATTCCTGTAGTTCACCTGAGCAGTTAATAACTAACAACTTACGTATTTATAAGCTTGACAAATTTTTTTAATTGCGATGATTGGAATATGTACTGGAGGGTACATCAAAGCACAACATCAAGTCCATGAAAATGTAAAAATACAAATGACAAAAGTAAGGGAAACTTATCTCACGATAATCGTCACATCGTGAAATTTAATCTCGTAAAGTGAAGCATTATACCGCGACAACCCCGGTGTAATCTACAGGTTATACAACTCTGTGCCTCGACCAGAAATTCCACTCATCAGTGCCGAGC